TTTTTGTTTGAATTTTTATTTTTTTTCTCTTTTTCTAAGGAAGAAAGAAAATATTTTTGGATTTTGGATGTAACCTCTTAATTTTCGAAAGAGGGACTTCTTTAAGAAAAATGTTTTGAATTTTGAGCTTTTATTTATTTACAAAAGTACTTCTAAAGAAAAGCAAAAATATTTTTGGATCAATTTTTTCAATTTTTTTATTGATATTTAAGAAAGAAAGACATCTAAGGAGTTTTTTTTTTTTAATTTTTTTGGAAAAATACTTCAAAATGAAGGAAACCCGTATTTTTGAATTTTGATTTTATTGATTTTTTTCTTTTTTCTTATGAAAGACATTAGAAAGAAAGAAACCATTTTTGAGTTTAAGAAACTTCTTCTTCTTTTTTTTTTTGAATTTTCTAAGGAAAGATTTCTAAAGAAGGAACTAAAAGAAAATATTTTTGGATTTTTTTGAAAATTGGGGTCGGAACCGATGAGGTTTGCCTACGTATCTCACATCCGGTGAGAATTAGACCCGTGTAGTTCGGTTAGCTTTGACGGAACACGGGAAATATGGCACTTAAAAATTTTGGCTCATTTTGAAATAACTTTTCTTTTTTCAGAATTTCGACAGAGTTTCAGAATTTTCTAAATACCTACCTCTCACTCTTGTTTTTGATTTTTTTTTTCTTTTCTTTTTGATTTTCTTCCTCTATTCTAGAAGCCGACCAACATGCAAGCCGGAACAAACAGATGCACAAGTAGCACGTAAGATGCATCAGGATGGTCTTTTCAATTTGGGTACACCTGTCCTAGACGGACCCAACCCCTGTGTTGAGTCCCCAAAGTCAAATGCACAAGATGCAAACAAATGTTCCTACTAGGGATCTGGCATGAGGCTGAGTTATTCTAAGTATAAAACCTGGGTACTGTTCTAGACTTGTGTACCCGAGCAGACAACTCGAGCCGAGGAGGGGGCTACGTACCGAGAACCAAAAGGCCATCCGGCTTTGTAACTTGTCCAAGCCTCTTTCTTATTTCAAGGTATGACACTAATAGAATAGGGAGTCACGCCAGCGTGCAAATCCCCGAAGATGAGAAGAGAAGGGTTTCGTAACAGTTTATATACCATTCAAATAATATCAAAGCGGTAAAAAGCGGCATTTAGCACATTAGGCCCAAACATATAAAAATCAGATAATAAATAAAGCCAACTATAACAGTTATGCTAAGCTCGAACTCTTGAACCCTGAACCGAAGTTCTGGGTTTTGATCCCCAGCAGAGTTGCCAGAGCTGTCACACCTCCTTTTTACACACTCGAAGGTATATATAAGGGAGTTTTTCAAATTTAAGTGACATTATTCGAAATGGGATTATTTATTTATCAGAGTCGCCACTTGGGATAGTTTAATTGGTGTCCCAAGTCACCGGTTTATTTTGAATCCCAAATCGAGAAAAATTTCGACTTTCCTTTTGAAGTCTGCGAACCAGAAATTCTGAATAAGGAATTCTGTTAACCCGAGGGAAGGTGTTAGGCACCCCCGGATTCCGTGGTTCTAGCACGGTCGCTTAAACTATCATAATTGGCCTATTATCTGATTTTAATACATGTGTTTAGCCTATGGTATATTTTAAACTAATTAACCGCTTTTTAAATTATTTTTAGGAAAATTGTAACGTCATTTAAAATACGTCTTGAACCACGTCACATAAATGCACCCGCGGCTCTCGACATATTTTATCTAACATTGTTGAGATTTGGATTTGGGTCACATAAATGCGCACCCGAGTTTAGGAAGGTAAATTATTAAAATAACGCGCCTAAAGCAACTACGCGTTTGCAACTTTGCGAGGGCCATGAAAAATTCGCTAAGTGGCACGTCTCGATTTCTAAGGATAAGAAGATTACTCACACGAGGGCCATGCAATTTAAGGTTTTATTTGGCACGGCACGCCTCCAATCCAATTTTAAAGGAAATTCAAGCTAACTTTTGAGGGCCATAACTAAGCTTATTTAACATGGCACGCCTCCAACTATTTCAAAAGATTGTACTCAACTAAAGCAAACTACGGATGTTCATGATTTAGGCACAACAGATGGAAAGCAGTATAGTTCCACACAACCGGATTAAGTCCAGATGAGAATGCAGCAGTTCAAGTATATCCATCAAAATCTCTATGTATAACTCTCAACTGGAATGAAGAAACGATTTTCCATTACCAACTATAACATAGACAATAACTAAGAAAGTTGGGATTTTCCAGTAGATTTAACAAATCTTACCACAAACCAAATATAACTTCTTACAACGATACCATACCCTTGAATTTCATACCTCAAATTGCATAGAATGACCTTTTTTATTCTGTTTTTGCTTACAAGAACTTAGTCGAGACAACAATTCTAAGCTAACTTGCCATATAGACACTTCACAAGCCAAGCCATTAACAATTTGTTACCCCTTTATAATGGAACATCTGATGATACTAATATTAATAATGATCAACACAAGCAATGCCTTCTTCATTAAAGGTGATAACTAAACTAGTTTTGTCAAAGCAGAGGCGGGAAACAATCAGATCAAGAGTAAAAGAAAGCTGGTTTTCGATGTACACACACGGAAACTCTGAATATGACATGCACCCGATGACAAAAACTATTTTGTACAAGTACCAGGGGAAATAGACACAAGGAAATAGATAAAAATGTATCAAACACAATACACAACGAGAAAGGCATCACATTCGATTATAGCAAAAATCGCACACTGTGGCTAGAAAATACTAAAACGAAATCGTTTATTAACACTTTGAGTTTATTAGTTTTCAATTATTTTTGTTCTTTGGAAAGAAATTATAGATGAGATGAGGAAAATCGTTGATTCTTATAAAGAGTTTACCTGACAAAGTTTACATCTGAAGCCCAAATAATCCCTCTTGGTTTCTAACGATAGCAGAATAGTAATGGATGACCAAATAGAGGTCTAGAACGAGGGCTGGAGCTCAGCTACTCCACAATCAACAACAGCACAACAAGCAAATCGCGGATTCATTATATACATGCAAACCCAGAAACAAATGGAGAGCTCTCTCAAATCAACCAAAGGAAAACAACTCTACCCCTTTTGAATTTTCCATGTAAAAAAATCGATTGAAATTCACTATTGTTTTTTATGTTTTCAGATCTTTTCCTTAATTTTTCGAATTCCGGATCTCTCTTTTATATATTTCGTGTGTGTTAAGAGATAAGAAGAGGAAGGAAGAGGGGTCTGTTCTTTTCCAGAGAATGGCCATGGGAGGGGGCGCCGTTTCTTTTTTGTGTAGGGGTGTAAGATATGATTTTTGGTTTTCAAAATTGTCTTTTTATAGGTAGGTGGTAGGGTAAAGGGTAATGGTATTTGGGTAGGGAGATTGTGCTTGGGTTGGACAGATTTTGGTGCCATTTATTTGGGCTTATTTTGACTTTAAAAAGGCCCAAGTTCCGAATTGAAACCCAATTAAATAAACTCCTTATTTCCTTTTCTTTTTTTTTAATTATAAATCCTAGAAATTAAAATCCTAGATTATCTGAAAATGTGAAATTAAACTAATTAACTAATTATAAAAATTATAAAAACTACTTAATCCTAAATTAAAAGAGAAAAAATCAATAAAAGGAAAAAGTGTAAAAATGAAGCATTTTTGTGATTTTTGATTTTTATTAAACAAATAATTACTGGTTAATCCTAAAAATATAAAACTAGATCCTAAATGCAATGCGCAACATTTTTGGTGTTTTTTCATGTTTTAAATAAAATTAAACATGCAAAAAAAATGCAACCAATTAATAAATCTATAAAAATTCCTATAAATGGCAAATAATTATAAAAAAATTCTATCTTCTTGGATTTTATAGGAGTATTTCATATAGGCCAAAAATCACGTGCTTACACCTGCAAAACAAATTTACTTATTTTTAGGTACCCAAGCTTGCTTGGGTCCTGAAAGATTAGACTGCTGAGTGTTAGTTTGGTTTGAAGATTTTGGTCGCCAGACCCATCTTCTGTTGTCCTTAAACCGGCAGCGATTTGAAGTGTGGCCCTTTTTTCCACAATAAAAACAAGATGCACTATTATCAGAATCTTTTGCTGCTCTGATTTTGTTCCTGCATTGGTTAGTATTATGTCCATTCTTACTACAAAAGGAACACCCATGAGATTTCTTCTGTTTGTGACGAACAGTCTGATTTGATTTGGCTGAACTATGACTAGTAGATTTCTGCAATCCATTCAATTGCAGTTGAAGTTCATTTACTTCTTTCTGAAGCATATCACGTTCAATTTCATAAACTTCTAGCTTCAGGGCCCATTCTTTCTTTTCTCTTTGAACCTTTTTGAGTTCACTTTGGAACTCTTTCAATATCTGCAAGAGCAATGTCAACGAATTCTTGGAGTTCATAACAGTTAAGGCAATTTAGGGGACGTACCTCACTAGTTCCTTCATCTGCCATGAGACCAAGTTGATCGGAGTTTTCTTCTTCATTTATTCCTCTGTTTCCTGAGAACCCACGCTCTCCTGATTCTTCATTTCTATCATCTTCTATGGTCAAGAAGCACATATTTGCAATTTCTTCATGATCAGATTCTTCTTCATCACTCCAGGCTCCAAAAGACTTCTTCCTTTGAAGATTCCTGCTCAGCTTCTTTTTTAGTTCTGGACAGTCAGCTTGAATGTGTCCATGTTTACCACATTCGTAGCATCTTCCATCATTTTCATTGTTTATCCTTCCCTTTCTGAAGTTTGGTTTACCTCTTCTACTATTTCTGTTTTTCCTCATCATACTGGTTACAACTTGAGAAAGCATGGCTATGTTTTCATCTTGTTCTCCTCCTTCATTTTCTTCTTCATCCTCTGGTTCAACCACGGTTGCTTTGAAAGAGACTGTTTTCTTCTTTTCTTGTTGAATCTGTCTATCCAAGTGAGTTTTCTCAAAAGCTATTAGATCACCTCTGAGTTCATCATAGGACATTTTATCGAGATCCTAAAATTCGAGTGCGATGACCTTTGCCTGCCAAATCATAGGTAGACTTCGGAGAATTTTTCTGACTTGTTCTCCACTTTTTATTGTTCTACCAAAGGATTTCAGATCTCCAAGAATTTTGCTGAACCTGGAGAACATTTCTTCAGCAGATTCTCCATCCTTCATTTGAAATAGCTCATACTCTCGAACCAATAGATTTATCCTTGTTTCTTTTACCTTGTTTGTCCCTTCATATGTGACTTCCAATTTATCCCACTTCTCCTTAGCAGTTTCAAAGATTGAGATCTTTTCATATTCTTTACCACTGATAGCATTGTACAACAGATTTTTTCCTTTGGCATTTATAGTTATGACAACAGCTTGCTCATCAGTGTAATCATCGAAGTCAAGTGGATCAGTGGATACCACAACTTGACCATTTTCGTCTTTCCTTGGGGGAATTGGAAGATTTTCCTTTTTGATCACTCGCTAGACATTTTTTTCATAAGACATGGTGTATGTTTCAATATGCACCTTCCAATTAGAGAAATGTTGTCCATTGAAGTATGGTGGTCGAACTTGAGAAGTTCCCTCTTGAAATAGTGCACCAACGACTGTGTTTGATCCCATGATCTTTTCTTCACTAGTTGTTAAGCAAAGTTTGTGAGCCTTGTTCTGATACCAATTGAAAGTGCAAGGGGGGGATGAATTGTGGTCTGTTAAAAACTTAGTCCACTAACTGTCATTTTATTTGACCAGATCGAGAGCAAAAGTAAAGTGACAGTAAACAGACAGAGAAAGACACACAGCAATTTTATACTGGTTCAGTACCGGTATGGTACTTACACCCAGTTTTCCTTGGGTCACAAGGGTTCCTTTTAGATCTTGAAAGAATTACAACAGGGATGGTTTTGATTTGTTCACCACTAATGAAGTACAGTAATCAATGAGTCTTAATAATGACACAACTCTCTTTTGTATTCTAACTCTTTCTATCTTTTGAGATACTGATAAACTTCAAATTACAGTGTTTAGGCTAAGAATTAGAGAGACTTAGAAGACAATGTGTGTAGTTGCGCAAGTCTTCCAATTGAACCAAGCAACCTTCTTATAGAAGAGGAAAATAGCCATTAAGTCATGACCAGAAATAGAGGCACGAGATCTTTAAAAGGATTTGACCCAAGGGGTGCCTCTTCGAATTCTGATCTTTGGGAAAGACCAGATTCGATTGTGACTTTCCTTTGTCACAGCTTTCATTTACGAGACAATCAATCCCTTGACTGAGCTTTAATTGAGGAAGCTGAATATGGCAATAACTTCTTGATTGGAAATCTGATTGCCTTGATTGAGGCCGAGTAGATCAGCAGTCTTTTGGTTCCTTCTATAGGTCCATTGATTTAGCAATCACACCTTTAGATAGCTTCTCATTGTTTTTCTATCCTTTTGATAATTCCTTTGAAATAGAATAGTTGAACATTGTCATCATTGAAACCTTGGAATTTAACTTAATAGGGTCATCACAGTTAGCCTGATCTTAGTGCAAAGCATACTAACACTATTCCTAGAACCATATTACTTTTACGTATACTAAGAACTTCACATTTTGCGCCGGGAAGAAGCTAGAGCTAGAGTTTTTTCTGGATGGCTTGTTTCTTTCTCGATGTATGTTAGCCTAACATGTGCCAACCATGGGTAAGAGAGCTCGCGTTCCATTTTAGAAGACTCTAGTGGCTAAGGAAGCTTCTACCTCGCATGGTAACACTCAGTGAGGGCAAAAAGTTGTCTTGGACAGTGAGGTAAAAGATGAAACCAAACAGTCCAATTTCAAAAGCAATGAAACAGCAACCCTAAACAGTGAATTTGAGAAAGTCTAACAAATTGAAGCAACGCGACTTTGGAATGAGGTGTTATAGGCATCTCCCGTAGAAGTCAAGTAAATCCGATGAGCAGTGGCAAAATATGGGCAGATGAGGTTGAAGAGGAGCTCGAGTCGCAAAAGAAGAATGGTTCAATCTGAGATGATTTTGATATTTCCAAAATATCAAATGCTAGGCATAAACTAGAGTATGTATCTCCCAAAACACACGATGAGTCCTCAATTATTGAAATTGAGTTGGATGACATTAGCACTGGATTTTCTTTTGGGGGGAATGTTGTTGTATGCTATGTCCCAGGGACACACCCCCCTTTACTGTAACATAGGGATATATCCAAAGGCTATGGGGTAAGTATGGGATTGATTGGGTAGCTACGCTAAAAATGGAGTAATAGTGGTGCGATTTGAAACTGGTATAGGGAAGCAAGAGGTGATTCAAGGTGGTATTTACCACTTTGATAACAAATCATTTATTGTTAAGGTATGGATACCTGAATGGGGTTTTATTAGAGAGGATCTCCTCATAGTTATAATTTGGATTAAATTCCCTAGTTTGTATTGGAGTCCAAAAGGATTGAGTAAGATTGGTAGCTTAGTTGAAAAACTTATAATGGTTTATCTCAACACCAAGAAAAGGAATGACTGAGTTTTGCAGGGTTACTAGTTGAGATGGAGATAGATGCAAATCTATCTGATGTGGTGCTATTCAAAAATGAAAGGGGCAAGCTGAATTAACAAAAGGGTGAGTTATGATTGGAAATTGACGTTATGTACTAATTCTTCAAAGTATGGGCATGCTGAAGATGTCTGTATAATGAAGAAGAAACATCCCGTGTCTTTCTCTATCTCTCGAAAAACCATTTTAGCTTTAAATTCATGTTGGGTCGGATTCAAATGAATTTTTCGTTAATCTGTAATAAGCTCTTTATCTATTTTTAAAAAATTAGAAGACAAGAACAAAAGACGAAAAAATGAAGAAAAATAATAAAGTTTATTATCATACATATCTTTCTCATGTAGGAGATGAATAAGTACATTTATTTAGTTCTACAGTCCTACATTCTTCTATTAAGAATAAATATTATCTAATTTCTAATTATTAATTAGTAATTATAATTTAAATTCTTAAATTATTTATAATTATTACAAGATATCTTTATTTATATAGTAACATAATAACAGATACAAATAATAAATCGAGGTATCCCTTCTATGACAAATTTGAACCTTCCATCTATTTTGTGCCATTGGTAGGCCTAGTCTTTCCGTAATTCCAATTACCTCTGATGGGTTTACAGTACCTTAGCTTTATATTTTGATGATCTAACAAACTTACTGTCAAAGAACAAGATAAGGAACCAGATACACTTGGTACACAGCTCAATCAACGGACTCAAGCTAATGTGAGTTGCTATGACTTCAGAAGATAAAGAATCAACACATAGACCTGATCCCATTGGGTTCCCCTGACAGCAGTACGAAGTCAACTGTCTACAACTGGAAAGTGAACTGCCTACACTGTACAAGTAAGCAGTGCAACACAGTACAGCAGTCACTTCTCATTGACCAACCAAGTGATTACATCAAGAACAAAGTACAACACTACTACGGACCAGTTCCTACGGCAAGTCTCTTGTATGTCCTTAGTTGAGTTGTAACTTTGTAATTGTTCTTCATTGTAATTCCTACTTTGCTTATCTAGAAGCTTTAATTAGGAACCCCTTGTAAACTATAAACCTTTAGTGTTTGTGTCGTGACTAGAGTTAGTCATGAGTTGAAGTCTTTGTAATAGGTGTATTGCAAAGTGGCTTGTAATAGGTTTATTACAAGTTAGTGAGGGATTAAGAGTTTAATTCCTAGATTGCATAGGCTGTAATCTAAAGATTGCTCATAGTGAAGTTGAAACCAACCAGTGTAGGTCGTGATTTTTTTATCCCCTTGAGCAGGGATTTTTCCACGTAAAATTTCCCTGTTCCATTTACTTACTGTTGCATTAGCGTTATCTGTGGAAACCTATATAGGACCTGGTCTCTATATAGTTTGGTGGACTCATATATTCTATCAATTGGTACCAGAGCAGGTAATTTCTATCAGGTTAACGCCTAGAAAGGATCCTCATGGCTGCTCCACCAAACTTTGAAGAGGGTCAATCTACCTACAGAGCACCCAGGTTCCATGGCCAATACTATGAGTGGTGGAAGACAAGAATGCATGACTTTATCATGGCAGAAGATTCCGAGTTGTGGGATGTTATTTGTGATGGCCCTTATGTCCCAACAAAGAAGGTCGGAGACCCTGCTATGACAGTGCCTAAGACGAGGAAAGAATACAACGATGCTGACAGGAAGGCTGTGGAGAAAAATTTTCATGCCAAGAAAATTTTGGTGTGTGGTATAGGTCCTAATGAATACAACAGAATTTCAGCTTGCCAATCTACCAAAGAGATATGGGAAGCTTTACAAACAGCACACGAAGGAACCACTCAAGTAAAGCAATCTAAGATTGACATGCTCACCACTGAGTATGAGCTCTTCAGAAAGAAGGACGATGAACCCATTCAAGACATGCACATACGATTCACTTCCATCATAATGAGCTACACTCGCTTGGTGAAATCATTCCTAGGAACAAGCTCATGAGGAAAATTCTTAGTGTTTTGCCCAGTTCATGAGAGAGTAAAGTGAATGCCATTACTGAAACAAAGGATTTGCAGGAGCTAACTATAGATGAGCTGGTTAGAAATCTGAAAACCTATAAAATGAAGAAGAAGAAGGACATTGAAAGAAGAGAACCAAAGAAGGAAAAGAACCTGGTACTCAAGGCAGAAAGCAATGACTCAAGTGACGAGGATAGTGACATGGCTTACTTAACCAGAAGATTTCAGAAAATGGTTAAAAGGAATGGAGGTATACCCAAGATAGGCAGTTCTAGCAAGACAAAGAACTTTGACCTCTGTCACAAGTGTGGAAAGCCAGGGCATTTCATCAAAGATTGTCCTCTCCTGAAACAAGAATACTTCAAACACAACTCTGACAAAGCAGCCAAGAGGAACCCGGTTCCTGATAAACGGTTCAAAAGAAAGAACGCAGCTAACAATGTTGTGAATCAAGCTCTCGCAGCATGGGGAGATTCTTCCAGTGAGTCTGAAGAAGAAAATGATGTAGGTGACAGCTCAATGATGGCAGTTGAAAGTGAAGCAAATGAGTATGACTCAATATTTGCTTTGATGGCTCAATCAGATGATGATGAAGACGATGACAATGATGAGGTAAATTTTTGGGATGTTCGGAGAAATCTAAAGTCCTATTCTCCTAGAAAACTCATGGCATTAGCTAATGTGTTGATTGATGATTACCATAGTCTTGTAAGTGATAAGAATGCCTTAACCTTGGAGTTAGGAGATGCTGAACAAACTAGAGATGACTTGGTAGTTTGTATGGTTGAATTGAAGGAAACCATAGGTAATCTGGAGAATAAAAGGAGGTTCTAACTGAGAGAATCACTAGTTTAGAACACGAAAGAGATGATCTGATTGTAGTAGTAGTTGACCTAAAAGAAACCATTGAGAATTCCAGTAAGGAAAAAGATGCCTTAGTGGAGAAAGTAGTTGTTATTGAGCAGGAAAGAGATGACCTCTTAGTGGTGATTGTAGACTTAAAGGAAACAATAGAGGAACTCAAAACTGAATGTAGGCCTGGGAATTCTGAAAAAAGGAAAGGAAATGGCTAGTGAGGCACATATTAAACTTGAAAAC